AACTAACTTTTTTTCTCGGGTGAACAGCTATCAATTCATGAATCTGCAGGCTTATTTTCAGTTAAAATAAAGAAAAATTGTACTTTTGAGTAAACCTTTTTTGGAAATTTAAAGCAAAACAAATGCTGTAAAACAACTAAATACGTCCTTTCAAAATGTAAAACAATTACTTTTAGCCAGAACTTGACCTCACGCAAGGGCATAACGTCGCAAACCACAGGGGGTCCAACTAACAGCTGTGTTATGAATAAAACATCATAACGTAATATTGCACTTACTTGTATAAATCATAAGAGCTTGCATTTTAATACAGTGAATAGCTTCAAAAACTTGCTTCGTTCCAAAGACTTCAAATATGGCGAATAAATTGATAAAACGATAATATTACATGACGTTCCAACGAAAATAACAGAAAGGATTGCGGGCGCGAGCGGAAAGGCGAGGAAAGAAATTAATAGAAGGATGAAACAAATATCACGTGACTTTTTAAAATGCTTCTAGACTATCCGTTTAAGCTTTTTGTGGGGTTTTTAAGGCTCAGTCGATGTTCTCTTACATGAACAAGCCTAGTCATTACCAAAAAAGCACTGATCAATCTAATTTATGTGATTTATAACAGCGAGCATTCTTGGCCATTATCGCGAGATGTGTTCCATAAGTAGCCTGTTCTCGTGACGTATGACGAAATAATAATAAAACTAAATAATGTAAAAAAAAACGTTGGTCGCTACATTTAAACATTTCATATTAGCCGGTATAGCTAAACATTGTTTATTTTCATTAATTAAGCGCTTAGACGTTGTTGGAGTTGGCAGGAGGCGTTTTGGAATTTTCCGAGAGAACAGGCTACTTATGGAACACATCACACGATCGCATTACCGGTGTTTCATCCCTTCTATTAATATATATTACCCTCGCCTTCCGCTCGCGCCCGCAATCCTTTCTGTTATTTTCGTTGGAACGTCATGTAATATTATCGTTTTGTCAATTTATTCGCCATATTTGAAGTCTTTGGAACAAAGCAAGTTTTTGAAGCTATTCACTGTATTAAAATGCAAGCTCTTATGATTTATACAAGTAAGTGCAATATTACGTTATGATGTTTTATTCATATTACGTTTAATTAATATGTTTTATTCATAACACAGCTGTTAGTTGGACCCCCTGTGCGCAAACTGTCCATGCCATGACATAAACAAAATGGAGGACAATTTTGATTTTCGGTCGGGGACAAATTTCAAAAACTAGATTTCCTTGCTTTTTCGAAAGAATTTTCACACACTTAGCGCTGTAAACGGAAAATAATTTCAGATGCAATGAAAACAAAAATGAAACATGTTACGAAGTTGCACACCAAATTAAGAATAACTTAATACTGAGCTAGAGGCAATTGTCGTCCAATTTGATTGGATAAAATATTACAGACGAAAAGCATGTCAATCAAGTTTCTCGATCATCTAAATTTTTGTAAGACAGAAGAAAGAAAGCTATTTTGAGTGTATTAAAAGTTGTTGAAAAGGAGGATTAAGTGAAGAAATAGTACCCAAAGAACAGTTTTTTCAACACTTTATTGCTACAATCAAGAATTTAAAAAATGCAAAACGCAATGTTTAACAATGATTGAAACTTAATATGAAGCTTCTTGCCTCCAATAACTTCGAAAATGTTCCAGTAATTTGTCACTTGTCAAGGTTTATTTTCATTGAAAAACTCGTTTTTGAAATACGTTTTTGAAATAATAGTTTTTAAAAACATGACTGATCACTGGCGTAACTGGCCGGTGTCCGGGTTTCCCGTGACTGCAGGCCTCCACGCCTAGAGGCTCGCGGCAAAAATGACCATAACATTTTGCTTCTACATTAGGCAAATTTTTTCGAGCCTCAGTTATAGACGGCCCGAAAATTTGCAACTGGTGGCCCCCAAAACCAGGAATTGGCGAAGTTGTAAAATTTGGACTCCTTTTTTAGTAGACATGCATGGAGGAGAAAATTTTTTTGGACTTTTTTAACTCCTTTTTTCAATGAATATTTTCCAAAAAAAATTGTATCTCCACCCCCCTCCCCGTTCGCCAGCATATCTTTGAAAAATAGGGACGCTAGCTATCTAAATATCTGATGTGTGGCCTTCTATTTTACTACTCTTTAAGGGTGGGTAAGATTATTTTCAGTCAGAAAGAATTAACTGCTATATTAAAACTTCGTTTGGTTTTTTTATCTCGGCCCTCCTCTAGTGTTTTCGAATAGAATATTTTAATTTTCTCTTGAAAAAGTAGCACTTCTGCTTGTTCTAACCGCGAGAAACCTGTTTAGCCAAGAGCAATATACGGGTTTTTACTTTGTAATAATGGTTTATGACCTTATTTGGTAAACTCACGACATTGGCATATATTAAAGCGTATTAAAGAACAGTAAGTCATGTCAGAGGAATGTTTATGAAAGTCATCAATACTAATTCAGATCTTAGATGCATTCTAATGAAGCGTGATATTGTCCACATGGGCAGTCAATACTAATAAAGTAAACAAATAATTTCATTTTACAAGTGCGCGCTCGCCATTGTAAATGCCAAAAACATCAGTTGCTCATATATTAACTTATACTTAAATATTTAGCAAATATCTTACCTTTATAAACAATATATTTTATTTGAAAATAAAATTCACCAATTAAAATAGCTCATGGTTTCGTTGAAACAAACTTTTCAGATATCAATGAATGTGCAGATGGAAGTCACAATTGCCATGTCAACGCTACACGTAGTAACGCAGAAGCAGGGGCGCCGGAAGCAATGTGAAGGGGCGGGGCAGCCATTCCAAAAGGGCACTTGCTTCTCAGCCATCATTTTTCTGGGCAGCAATATTTGATGAAACTTTACTGTATGGATACTCGAATGACTCGATTACTTCTGGCTATTATGGGTCGCAAACTTGAACATTAATTTGAACAATTTTATTCGTTGCACGGGGCTAAAAGCGCAACATAAAACCAGTATACGTAAACGGACGTATATTGTTTGATTTAGCATCTCGGGCGTAGGAACCGTGGGGGCCAAGGGTGTCAACCCCCCACGTTTTCAGAAAACCTAAAAACTGCACTTTTTCCGGCGGCAATGTGCCGTTTGCCTTCGTGAAAATTTTTGTTCAGATTCATAGATAGATAGATAGATCGTTTTAATTGAATTGCCTTGCAGCCAGCAGGTTGAATTACACAATTTTACTATTAATTAACTAGGTGTATAAAACATTACTCAACTGCATGCATAATTTACAAATTTAAAGAAGTTAAAAATTTCAGTGTAAATTAGAATACGATTAATTGCTAAGATTAAAAATGTTGGCAGAGATAAAAGTGTTTTTATAGCGATCAGTTCGACATTTAGGTAAAGTAAATGTATTTTTCTTTCGAAAGTTATAGCAGGATCGTTTTTTGTTTGGCAACAGACAATTCAGTTGGTGATCTTGGTCTTTTATACTGTTGGTGAATAATTTGGCTACAAGCTTTTCTCGGCGTTGTTTCAGGCTGGATAGACTGGCATTTTCTAGAGCGTTTTCATAGGTGGTTGCGGGATAAATAATGGACATACACCTAATTTGTACCCTTTCCAGGCGCAGATGGAGATAGTCAGGAAGGCTATCGTGGAAAACTGCACAGTAATACTCCAGTAGGGATCTGATGCAGGTTTTATAAAATTTAACGAGATTATTAACTTCGACTTGTGCTCTTTTTGGTTGAACAAGATAATCATGCCAAGTAATTTGCATCCTGTAATACGTTCGAGACGATATTCTCCGATTGATAATGGTTGGAAATGGCTACTTTGTTTACTAAAACAGATCTGAAGTTCTTTACATTTGTCAAGGTTAAGGTGAAGATTATTGGAAGTAGACCAGTTGTTGATATGGTCTACTGATTCTTGTATATTGCTGACCGCTCCTTTAGGGATGATTTCTGACTCGGTTGTATCATCAACATATTTCCATAGGTTTGCATTAGGAACAGCAAGATCGTTGATCATTAGAAGAAAAAGCCAAGGGCCGAGTTTAGTGCCTTGTGGAACTCCACATGGCACTCGGCCCCATTCTGAATAGCAGTCCTTAGCCAGTTTAGTTCTTTGATATCTGTTAGTTAAACAGTCTTTTAACCAATTAATTACACGACTATCCAGTTCTAATTGGCGAAGCTTACTCATCAACAGGTTGTGATCAATTAGACAAACGCCTTTTTAAAATCGAAAAGGACAACCCGTACCGTTGCTCCATTCCCGTCGGTGGCTTTCGACCAGCAGTCAGTCATGCTAATTAAGGCATTGGTCGTTGATGATCTTGGTATCCCACCAAACTGGTTTTTGTCAAGGACAGAGAGTATAGCAGGCTGGACGAATAGTTCCACTACAAATTCTTCGGCCAGTTTGGACATGATTGGAGTCAGGGAGATGGGTCGAATATGCTTACAAACGTCTTTAATTGGTTTTGACTTAGGTACTGGGGCGACATCGGCTTTCTTCCAAATATCTGGGGGACGCTGTTCGAGATAGGATGAATTTAAAATGCTGGTAATAGGAAAGGCCAAAACTTCTGCGTATTCTCTTAGTAGCCAGCTTGGTATACCGTCAGGCCCAGCTGCTTTACGGGGATTTAAAGATTTCAACGCGTTTGAAACCGAAATTTCAGTAACCGTTAAAAAACTTGACTCATCACTAACTAGATTAGCAGAATCTTCTGAAATTAGGGGAGAGTACGCCTGCATAGGTTGAAGAAGTTTATAGTTGATGACTTTGGCAATCTCGTTACGCGAAGTTGATTGTGTATCAATCTCCGGAATCTTTAAGATGTCGAATATATCAGATCGAGGTGTAGCCATTCCACTTAGAGATTTAACATAGCTCCACCAATTACGGGGATTTGACTCGTTGAGGTCCTTGACCTTATTATTTTCATAATATTTTGCACGACATGATTTACGATAACGGTTAATCAAGTTTCGATAATAGTTAAATGTTACCTTATTGTTATTTGCCAGTGCATCTTGTCGTTTCTTAAGGAGGGACTTGAATTTTGAAGTGATCCAAGGCGGCTCATTGGCTCTTACTTTAACATACTTCTTTGGGATGATGCTGTTGACACCGTTAGACACCAGGCCAATGAAGTGTGATAACATTTCATCACATGTTGACAATTCTGACAAAGTTGACCATTTGATGTTGCTTAGGTATCGACCAAGAGATTTTCTGTATGAAAGTCGAGTGTCCTGAAGGGTGATATATTTTCCCACAACACTTCATGGTCTGCACTTTCAATTTCCGTCAACCGTTTAAATTCAATTCCATCTCTAAATTCAATTCCATTTCTCACGGATGTGAGGCACTTAATACCCCCACGGTGTGGGGCAGTTAATTAAACAATGAGAAATTCCTAGTACGCTTGGCTTGGCGCGCACTCTTTGCCTGTGAATCGAGCCTTTCAGAACCGGAAATCGGGCTGAAGCACGACAAATGACAACGTTTACACGACGCTCGTTTGCAAAAACAACTGCAAACTGCTTAAATTCTTTCTGTCACTTTCATTTGATTTCATCTGTCAGTCGGCCTCAACGGCCTTTGTTTCAATATGATTGCATTTATTTTTCCTTCCCCCCCCCCCCCCCCCCCCCTCGCCCATCGGCGACATTTAGGCGAAACATTTTTAGATGCCCTTTTAATTCCAAAAGTGCCCCTCAAAACCGGTGTCCCCCCAACTTTTTGATGCTTCCTACGCCCCTGTAAATAGCATTAATTTTACTACAACTGGTCATAAATTAAGCAAATATTGATTAAAGATATGCTGTACAGTCCGATCTGGGTATGGGCACCAGGGAGCCCTCTTTCTTTTATACAAACAGTTTATTTAGGTTTTTATTTCATTTTATGTTCTTGCAAAGCTTGATTGTGGTGTCTTGATAATTTATTATACTCTAGAATCATGACAATGTAAATAGATGTCGAATAAAATTCTTTATTATATAGTAGAGAGTGAGATACAGAGAAATACACAGTGACATATTTTCCATATCTTCACAAGTGAAGATATCGATCACGTGACTTTTAGTATTTATACAATTCTTTGCTTGGGACTATATAATAAACAGAATATTACACGATGGTTTGAAGATATGACTTTTATCTTCTCGTGTTAAAAACAATATTTTACTCACTCGCTGTGCTCGTTCGAAAAATATTGTTTTCACCACTTGAAGATAAAAGTCGTATCTTCGCGCCGCCGTGTAATATCCTCTATATGTTTTCGATACCGAGATGTAAACAAATCCTTTGTTCACATACGGTCTGTACCGCATCTTTAAACATTGCTTAAACTCCAATTCCTGTGAATATTGCAGGAATTTTGAGGTGCAGTTCTGGCAAAGAGGGAAACCTGTTGCCCCCGTGCTGCCCCCGCAATCTTTGGGCAACGGGCTTAGTTGCCCCCGCTGCCCCCGTGGCTCGGGCGCCGCTGTGCAGAAGGATCATTCAATTGTACTTGTAAATCTGGCTACACAGGAAATGGCACTCATTCTCAATGTTTGTTTATGATGCCCAAACGCATATATAAAAAAGATATACAAGGTTGTACGAAGTTGGGCAATTTTAAAAATAAGTGGGGCAAAAAATGGGGGGGGGGGGAAAGGGTGGGGATTGAGAAGAAACAAATATAGAAGATCACAGTCAAAAATGCAAAAAATATGTACCGTGGCCAAATTACATCAAATTCCTCATAACCTTGCTGTTTTTTATTAAATCTGACGCTGCAATCGAGCACGAAAAATTCGTTGGCTCGAGCAGGATGTGAACTCGCATCTTCGGGTATCTAGACCACCGCTCTACCTATTGAGATATCAAGTCAACAGGGATTGGTAGCGAGTCTTATCCAATTTAAGTGCACGAAATATTTTCGTGCCAACTAAAGCTTGTCTTAGACGACGCGCAGTGTTTCAATTCTATTTCAGAACCATCCTCAGAGATACGAAAAACTAGTTTCATATTAATACGACTTAACGCTTGTATTTTGTTCACGAAAATATTTCGTGCACTTAAATTGGATAAGACTCGCTACCATTCCCTGTTGTGTCGATAGCTCAATAGGTAGAGCGGTGGTCTAAATACCCGAAGATGCGAGATCAAACCCGGCTGGAGTCAACGAATTTTCCGTTGCTCGATTGCAGTGTCAAATTAATATGACACTAGTTTTTTGTATCTCCGAGGATGGTTCTGAAATAGAATTGAAACACTGCGCGTTCTCTAAGACAAGCGTTAGGTCGTCACGAAAATATTCCGTGCACTTAAATTGGATAAAACTCACTACCAATCCCCGTTGACTCGATAGCTCAATAGGTAGAGCGGTGGTCTAGATACCCGAAGATGCCAGTTCAAATCCCGCTCGAGCCAACGAATTTTTCGTTGCTCGATTGCAGTGTCAGATTAATATGAAACTAGTTCTTCGTATCTCTGAGGATGGTTCTTGCTGTTTTGTTCTTGGCATTTGCAATATTATTTTCAGTGGGGCAGAATTAAAAAAGCTATATTAAAAGTTCGTTTGGTTTTTCCCTCGGCCCTTCAGTCTCTAGTCTTTTTCGATACAGTGTTTTCATTTTTTGCTTGTTCGGACCAGGAAAAACCAGTTTAGACGAGGGCAATGCGGTTTTTTGCTGTAAAATCCTCTCTCAGATTTTTTGTGTTCCCATGGTCGTATTGGTCAAATCACGGCATTGTCATATAAATGAAACGAATTAGTTATTTGCCGTTATTATATACAATTGGTGCCATAAATTTGTCTCCGTAGAACTCTGTTTATATTCCCATTTTAAAACTGGTAATGATCTAAGCGATAAAACCAATCAATTGTCTAAAGAAGAAATAGCGCCGGAATTTAGTAATTGTTTCAAACTGACTATTTTATTTGGAAACGTAATTTACGAATTTGTGTAGCTGACGAAGTCGTGGGTCTTCCCAGTTTTGCCTGATTCTTCAAAAAAACTGTTCAATTTCCATGATGGTCAATGTTGGGGGATCCAGAAAACATTTCGACCATTTCAAATTAGTCGAAAAAACCCTAAAACAGTAGAATTTAATTTTGGCATAATCACATCATGACATATAGGGACAGAGGAGATACTATTAGTAATTAAGCATTAAAGCAGGTTTCACCTTGTAAGTCATATGATAACCTATACACACATACAACACGATACAGTACAATACACATGCTATACAATGCAATGCAACGTAGTACAATACAATACAATACATTACATTACATTACATTACATTACATTACATTACATTACATTACATTACATTACAAAACAATATTTTATTACATGTTTATAATCACAATGACAATGATAATAACAATTAAACAAAGACAATTTTACCTTTTAGACACAAATTTCAATTTGTGACAGCATTTGAGTTTTGGGCTTTCTGCTGTTGCGATTCCTTTCCCTGCACATATATTGGCTTAGTAGTAGGATCAAGCAGGTTATCTTGTTGACCATTTTTGAAATAGTAATAGATTCTACAGATAAGAAAACATATTTTATATAGATGTTGTGCTTCTTAACTAAATCAAAATAATTTATAGACTAAGCAAAACTCAAACTTATATATTACCATGAACCTTTAAATACTGTGCTATGCATACAGGCAGCTTTGGTAGGTGGATGTTTTAATGAATCGTGACAACAAGAAAGCCAAAAGTTTAATTGATCCACAAGATACAAAGACAGGCACGACAAATCTAAGTTACTGTGCCAGGAATATCGACTGAAAGAAGGCATCTGCTCGTATTTCCTACACATCTAAATAATATTAAAAATGCTGTATAAAAGGAAAAAAACAAGCCATATTATTATGAATATCGCGTGAAACCATATCAGCCGGCATCTTGTTTAGCCTTGGCCTATCGGCTTCAAATTTTCCTTCCTGGCGACGTCTGCATACAAAACATCGAGAAGAAACCGACAAATCCATGAGATATTTCAGGATATTTCATCTGTATTGCACAAACTAAGATTTCCTTTTGTATTTAAATTGCTAAATTGCGATGTAATATAGTTTTTCAAAACAGATCAAGAATAGCAATGAATTGGTCTTGACCATTGTAATTATGCTGCGGTAAACGTACTGTAAATAGCTAATTACCTTGAAAATTGTGTAATTTTGGGACGCAAATTGCTTTTAAATGGACACACGTGTTTCAAAAAATCTAACCAAGGAGCAGGAAAACGTAGATAAATTTTATAAAAAAATATTTGACTTGTTGTGAAAAGTTGAAACTTTTGCATTTTGTACTGAACTCCCACTCTCTGTAAGATGTCCACTGACAATACGAGCCCGCACGAGTGGGAGAAATTTTGCTAAATTTGACTGACGTGCGAACGTTCCTTTTTGTCCCTTTCTATCACCACTCCTACTGATTATCACTTCGCATCTAATTACCCTTTCTCACGCTACGTAACCAGGCCTTATTGGGGTACTAAACCGCGCGGGGCCGAAGGACAACAACATGACAAAAGATACACAATTAGATTTGGCGTCGAGGAAAGCTACAACGTTTGAGCTGAATTTTCGCTGTTTTATTTCACGGAATATCATAAATTTTGGCTTAGTACAAAAAATATCAGTTGAACGTTATTAAGTACAAATTTTAGCTGATAATTTTCATACGTTTCCGAAGATAACTGGCATTGAAAGTGCGAAGTCGATTTGTCGACGACTCGAGGTAAGAATGGTTTGTTTATTTTTAGGACGACCTTTCAACCTAAACTGCACATTTGCAATGGCAAAGTAATTCTATTTAATCTTCGCTCATCATATACCACTGTTTTATTGTAATTTGAGAATAATACAACCCTAGGGCGTAAAATAAAAGGGTTTTTTCTTCATTCTTCAGACCATGGTCGCCACAAAGCTGTAATGCCTGGGCGAGTTAAATTTTTCGTCTAATGCTGCAGCAATTCGTGGTACAGCAATAGCAAACAAAACAAAGGAGGAGATTATTGAGTTTTCACCGTTTGCATAGGGATCAGCTCCTTATTGAAAAATATCTGACTATTTTAAAGACCACAGTTTCGATCACAAAAAACGCACGTATTTGTAGGTAGGTAATACTTTATTTAAAATTAACAGAAAGAAGAACACGCTAGCCCCATCAACTCTAGGCTGGTTTCCATGGGGGGCGTGTTTAGATCTTAAAAATCATTAAAAGGAAAATTTAAACTAAATATTAGTACACACATACTGTACATGTTACTATATACAAATAATTAGGAAGCATGTCGCTGTCCAACAATTGATTTAAACGAATGAGGCGACTCGGCCAATTTTGCTTCGTTTGGGAGTTGATTCCAGAGCATAGCGCCGCTATATTTAAAACTTTTTTTAAGAAATTCTCGTTTCGGTTTAGGAATTGTTAGATCAGTTGCTGTGTTTCGAAGATGATAATTAGTTTGATCTATTTCTCTTCTCACGAATGACCCCCGGAGACCTGGCGTAGTGTGGTCGTTAAATATTTTATACATTAATACTGACTTGGCACCAGAACGCCTATTTTCAAGTGTATCCCAAGAAAGCATGTTGAGAAGATCAGCTGAGCGAGTATCATAATTATCACCCGTCAGGACTCTTGCTGCACGAGACTGAAATCTTTGCAACTTGTCTCTTAGCAACTTACCACAAGTGTCCCAAAGGGGGGAACAATAATCAAAGTAGGGCTGCACAAGACTTTTATAAATCGATTCTAAGGTATGCATTGGAACAAAGGGCTTTATACGTTTCATAGCGCCAATAGCAGCGCTCGCCTTCTTGCATATCATTTCAATGTGACTATCCCAATTAAGGGTTTCATCTAGTTTTACTCCTAGGCACATTTGTGTAGCAATTCGTGATATGGGTTTTGCATTAGCCACAACTGGTTCCTCACACATTATATTATTAAGATTATACGGGGAGCCAATAAACATCATTTTACATTTTGATGGATGCATCTGCAGCCTATTTTCTTTAAGCCAGTTACAGACATGGGCAAGATCTGAATTTAAATTTACAACAAGTTCGTTTGCATCGTAGGAAGATGAAAAGATTTGAGTATCATCCGCGTACATGCATGGATTAGTTGATTTCAAACAATCGGGCAAATCATTAATATATAATAGGAACAGCAGTGGTCCCAGTATAGATCCCTGGGGCACTCCACAAGTGATAATTTTATTGCTAGATAATTCTCCATTAACATTACATTGCTGTTCTCTATTTGTTAAATATGACTCAAACCATTTTAATTCTACGCCAAAAATTCCAAATTGCTCATTCATTTTATTTAACAAAATGCGATGGTTTATAGAGTCAAATGCCTTTTTGATATCTATGAACACAACCCCATTTAACTTTCCATTGTCCATATTTTCTAGCCACTCATCACACATTTGGATGAGGGCAATTACAGTTGAATGCTTTGGACGAAATCCAGATTGAAACTTTGACAGAAGAGAGCCTTCAGACAAGTATCTATATACTTGACGGAAAACTTCCTTCTCAAAGGCTTTACTCACCACCGGTAAAATTGAAATAGGCCGATAGTTCTCACATTGTCTTTTATCCCCGGATTTAAATATTGGCGTAACACGAGCACGCTTCCATTCATCTATATATACGCCCGTTGCAAGCGACAGATTGAAGATGAATGTCAACGAGGGTGCAATTATGTTTGCAGATAATTTTAGAATTTTAGCAGGAATTTTATCAAGACCTGTTGCTTTACATGCTTTTAGGCCTCTTAGGGTCGAGGCAACACTATCAACGGATATTGGAGATACTTTAAAA